TTTGCTTCAATTTATAGACCTCCAGATATTCGATCGACTTCCAAAGATTGGTGTCAAATTTTTGAACAATTTAATTTTCCTTGCATTATAGGTGGTGATATGAATGCGCATAACAGTTTGTGGGGTTCACTTAAGAATGATGGCATTGGGCACCAACTTATTAATGCCATTGATACTCTTGATTTAGTTGTTCTTAATAATGGCAACGCAACTTGTCTGACCCGCCCGGATGTGAAACAATCTAGTGTTGATATTACGTTGTGTTCTCCTGATTTAGCAAAAGAAATTACTTGGGACGTCTTGGATGACACACTGGGATCGAATCATTATGTAGTTCTCATGAATTTTTCTTCTGTTATTTCTCGTAATGAATACATTCTTCCAAAGTCCAAATGGAATGTTAATAAAGCTAATTGGACCCAATACTCTGATCTAATTGAACAAAACTTTCTTAACTATTCGGACAGCTTGACTACCTCAGAGAAATATGACTTCCTAGTGGAAAGTATTAATAATGCATCTTCTCAATCCATTCCGACATATAAACCCTTTAAAATTATTAAACGACCACCTCCTCCGTGGTGGGATTTCGAATGTGAACAAGTTGTTTCTGACAGGAAAGATGCTTTAAAAACATATAAAAATAACTCTAGTTTCACTAATTACGTACGATGTCAGGAAGTAATGGCTAAAACAAAAAAAGTTCTAAAACGAAAAGCCAAAGAAACTTGGAAAAACTGGTGTTCATCATTAAATAAAAATATGCCTATTAAAAATGTGTGGAATGAAGCAAGGAAAATGCAAAGGAAGTATACTCCAAGTATTAATCATTTTAATGATGAACTGATTGAAGAATTTTTTGACAAAATAGCACCTCCATCAGTTAACACTGCTATAGAAATTCAAAATAATACTATAACTTCAAGTCACTTTCTTCTAAATCCATTTACACGGGAAGAACTTGACTTTGCGCTAACTAATAGGTCTAACACCGCTCCGGGTTACGATGATATTAAATATCCTATGCTTAAAAAACTTCCCAATATAGCGAAAAACGTATTACTTGATATTTTTAATGATATTCTTTTTAAAGATGCAGAAATTGATGTATTAAGAACTGTTATTGTCATACCAATCCTCAAACCAAATAAAGATCCCAACTTGGTACAATCATATAGGCCAATCTCTTTGATGTCGTGTGTTTTGAAGACTTTGGAAAGAATTATCAAAGTTAGACTAGAATGGTGGATAACTTATAATAAATTAGCTTGCCAAAATCAGTTCTCTTTTAAAAAAGGAGTTGGTTCCCTAGATGCTCTTAGTACTCTCGTTGTAGACATAAACAATAATTTTGGCAGAAACAATTACCTTTCTGCGCTTTTTATAGACGTAGAAAGTGCGTATGATAATATATGCCTCCCCATTTTAAGAGATAAAATGTTGAAATTATTTCATATTCCAAATCAGGTAATCAACATGATTATTAAATTCTACACTAATAGAAAAATATTTTTAAGAAATTTTGATAACACAATTGTAGGTCCACGAAATAACAACAACGGACTTCCACAAGGCTCAGTTTTAAGCCCTATTCTATTTAATTTGTATACTGCTGACTTACATCAATTAAGTTTTAATCACATTCCGTTTAAAATAGTACAGTATGCAGATGACCTCTGCATATATACTGAAAATAAGAATTTTAATACCACTATGGCTTCTCTCAAAGACATCTTTGGTGTTGTTCATGAATGGTTAATATTAAATGGATTTCAGATTTCCTACTCCAAGTCTGAAGTTTGTGTTTTCAGTAGACACAACATACCTAAATTAAGTTACATTGTCCTAGGTTCATATAATTTTTCCATTAAAGACTCCGTTAAATATCTTGGAATGGTACTTGATAGGAAATTGACATGGAAAATGCATATTAATTACATGTTAGACCGATGTATAAAGGGTTTAAATTTTTTAAAAATGGTTACTAAGACTTGGTGGGGAGCTGGCGTTGAAACCGCCTTACTATTCTATCGTGCCTATATCAGGTCCATATTGGATTATGGATGTATCTTGTACGGCTCTGCTAGTTCACGGATTTTAAACAAAATAGATATCTTGCAGAACTCAGTCCTACGTGTATGTCTTGGTGCCATGAAAACAACCCCAGTCGAACCTCTTCATGTAGAAGCTATTGAGTCTCATTTAAATCACAGGAGGCAGTTCCTGGCAGACAAATTTCTTTTTAAAATATCCAGAACCAACAGTAATCTATATTCAAATATAGTAGTATTAAATGAACAAGATTTGACAAATAAATATTGGTCGAAGAAAAATTCTCCACTACTGTGTATCGCACTTCAATCTAATCAAGATATCATTAGTGATTTATATGATCCCAGCTCAATTTTGTTAGATCTTTATGATTACAATGCATTGTTTCTAAATATAAAGATTGTAAAACCTGCATATAGCGAAAATCTTCACATTAACATTAACTTATTATACTCAATACTTGCAAGCTTCGAGGAATCTGTGGCAATATATACCGATGCTTCAAAGTCCAAGGATGGTGTGGGATGTGCTTTTTATATTCCCTCCAAAAATATTAATTATTCCTACAAACTGGATAACATATTTTCTATATTTAGTGCTGAAGCTATTGCAATCTACGAAGCGTTGACATTTTTATCACAATCTACAATTGATTCTGCAGTAATTATATCGGACTCCCTGTCTGTTTTAAATTCCTTGGTTTTGGCAAAATACCCAAGTTACAGCTCCAATTATATCATATATGCAATTAAAAAACGGATTTTAGAACTGCAAAAAGTTAACAAACACATTAATTTTGTATGGATTAAAGCACATATCGGTCTCGAACATAACGAGTATGTGGATATGCTGGCAAAGAAAAGTGTAAAAAATGGTTTGACCAATCAACTACCTGTAAGTTTTTGTGATGCAGTAGCTTATATTAGAATGAATTATCTTAATATTTGGAACAAATGTTGGTCACAATATACTTATACCAACCCTTCTAGATACTGCAGTATACAAAATCAAATACCGAATAAAACGTGGTTCCAACAATATAATTATTCCAGAAAATATATCACAACGATAACACGTCTTAGATTTGGTCACGCCTGTTATCCCACACATCTCCATAAAATTCATGTTCTTGAAAATGATCTTTGTCAAAATTGTGGCAAAAAAGGTGATTTAGATCATATTTTTTTCGAATGCCAAAAATATAAGGATGAAACAGATCAATTTATTCAACAATTACATGATCTCAATGTACAGGCTCCGTTTAATATCCTTAGTCTCTTAGCTAATGGAAATGAGAGAATTTATAATGCATTAGTAAAATTTCTGTCAGGTACCAAAATAGTCTTTTAGTGACAACTATAAAAAAATATATGTATATACAAACTTGTGGTGAGCAACTTGGACAGTCCATAGCAAAGCAGCTGTCGAATTGAGTAGATAGCTGCTCAAGAGTTTGCTATGGAACTCTGAGAACCTCATCATCTTGTTTATATGTAAATATAGATAAAAGTGAGATAATACAAAAAAAAATTAGTATTTTGAATTATATTATGTGTACCATTTTTTGAACACACTGATGATGTTAAAAAGATGCTATATATTTAACTTTTATCCTATTTTATTTTTAGCTCTTAAAGTATATTATTCAGCTCTTCGTTATTGATATTTTATGGATCTTACGGTAATAAAATTCTTATGTTTAAGGTAGTAGTCATGTTGTAACTGGCTGATTGACACCTAGTCTATGCCAATAAAAAAAAAAAAAAAAAAAAAAAAAAAAAAAAAAAGGGATACAATTGATACAATTTCAGTAAATGCTGTTGTGAGCACCTCGGCTCAACAAAATCATTGAAATAACCATCATATATCCGCCTACCGGAAATAAAAATTCAACATTTCGATAGAAATATAGCAAATTGGTATACTTTCATCGAGATGTTTACAAAACTTATCGTAAAAGATTCAAATCTTTCAGATATTGAACAACTAATTTACTTAAAATCAATTCTCAAGAACGAGCCTCTACAACTAATTGAAAATTTGAATACACTTAAGAATAGATTTGAAAACAAATGTTTAATAATTAACACTTATTTAAAACAACTTTTGAACGTTCCTTCATTAGCAAAAATACTGCTCCAAACTTGCGAGAATTCTTAACTCACATAAAAAAGAATTTAAGTGCGCTGAATAATTTAACTATCTTCAACAATCTTGCAGATTTATTTTTAATTCACATATTCACACAAAAAGTAGATTTTAATATGAAACCATCCTTTGAATCCGAAAGAGATTTCAACGAACTTAATACAATAGATGAGTTTTTGAATTTCATTGAAAGGAAATGTAAGATATTGGAAAATTTAATCTTTGAAGAAAAAACAGTTTATAAATCAAAACCGTCTCCGCATATTTCTGTAAATAATAGAGATACAGCTTTTAAATGTTTCGTATGCAATTCTAACTCACTCAAAGTATACTCTTGCCAACAATTTTTAAATTTCTACGCTCAAGAGCGTATACAAAAAGTAAAAAACAAAGGTTCTTGTCTCAATTGCCTTGCTAGTGGTCATATATCTAATTCTTGTTCCTCATCTTCGAATTGCAAAACCTGCAATAAAAGACATCACTCTTTGCTTCACATTTAGCATCCGTCGGAAAATACTTCACGGCAAAGTTCGTATAGGTCGAATTCTGAAAGTCAACCCGCCCAAAATCAATTTGTTCGTAATTCACGTCATCAACGCTTAAATCAGCATTCGTCTCAATTCACTTCGGAGAATATTCAAGCAAATTCGCAGAACAACTCTGTTCCAAATGCAATTTCGCAATGTTTACCAGATACGTAAATTCTCCAGGTCCGAGCAATATTTCGTCCCACTCCGTACAGTTATTAGCCTTTACACACAGCATATAATAATAGAGACGTTTTACCATGAGTAACTTACGTTCACTTTCAAATATACAGTTGATCCTTTCTTCAGCACAGACCGGAACATCGCGTTCTCCTAAAACAAAGAGAATATTCAAATAATTAAAATTATTAGACACAGAAACTAAATAGCAGTAATAAACAGCATTATAAGCTATAAGAAAATAAGTGGGGACGGACAAAAAGACAAATGTATTAGTTATTATTTATCATTATCGTCACAAAGCCTGTAGTGTCCATTGCTGAATATAAGCCCCTAATACTTCGTCCCTGCCATTTCCAACTATCGTATGTGAAAAGTAGTACTTTTCAGGAGAGCAAGAAAACGCTTTTTTAGAGAATCCAGGGCGAGCGCCCACCAAAGTGGCGTGGCAAGTAGCACGTAGCAAGTAGCACGCGTCTAGCATGTTTCTTAAAATGTAACCAATAAAAACGAATGATTAGAATGAATGACGTCACTGTCATTTTGGTGTACGCTGAATTATTCGTTTTCATTGGTTACATTTTAAGAAACATGCTAGACGCGTGCTACTTGCCACTTGCTACGTGCCACGCCACTTTGGTGGGCGCTCGCCCTAAATCAGCGCCTTGACAAATGGAAAAAATTTTATATTTTTTATATTTAATGTTTAATCCTTGTTAGATTGATATAATAATTAAACTGTTTACTGTTTGTTTTTCTTTCCAAAAAATCACGTTCGATACTTGTGTTAATCTGTGTTACTCAACGATTTGTTTTGGTACAATGTCTCAAAATTGCGAATGTGCCATTTTCGTCAGTTTATATTGGTAGAATTTTAACACATTCATTTGGTGCAATGTTTCAAAATTGCGAATGTGGCATTTTCGACAGTTCATATTGGTCTAATGTTAAGACATATATATATTCTTAATTAAAAATGAGGAATATTAAAATAATTTTAATGTTCTTACAAAGTTTATTATAAATTATTTAATTAAAAATTAAAGTTGCAGGATAAAATGGAAAAATTTTCATTATTAGTACATTGTTTATCGGGTAGGAAAAGCTTAACATTCCTGGACGACTGTGAAGATTGCTAAGTCGAGGCGCAAGCCGAGACTTAGCAACACAGAGTCCAGGAATGTGGCTTTTCCTACGAGGTAAACATACTATTTTTCCGCAAATCGTTTAAAATTCGACAGATATTGATTGATTTAAAAAAAACGCGATAATTTTATTCCCAAATAAATGGTGCTTTGAAATTCCTAATAAAATTACTAATATAATATAATATAATATAATATAATATAATATAATATAATATAATATAATATAATATAATATAATATAATATAATATAATATAATATAATATAATATAATATAATATAATATAATATAATATAATATAATATAATATAATATAATATAATATAATATAATATAATATAATATAATATAATATAATATAACATAATAGTGTTCCTCCAATGTTCAATAATTGTACTAACTGTCAAATTACTGTAAATATAACAAATTGATCTTAAAAATGTATTCAGCAATGACTTGATGTTTTCAAAATATAAATTAATTCCTTATAGGCAATGTGTTTTCTATCATTTATGTAGAACACTAACAACTGTACGGAAATATTATATCATTTCCTTACAGTAAGGAAATGACATTTCCTTACAGTAAGGAAGTCCTGACTTTTTCTTCAAGAAATTTTGACAGGAATGTCAAAATTTCCTGGCGATTTGCGGAAAAAGTATTTTTATGAAATTATGTATTGCTAGAAAATTGATGTAATTAGAAACGTAAAAAACATTAATTATGGAACTTTACGTCCCGTAGATACCTAAAGTACTCAGTCACAGAATAATAAACAATCAGAAGGGCCACTCTCAGATGCCGCCTTTGAAGTTTTTCAGCACGCGCGCCATGTTTTAGGAGGACACAGACATATGATTTGTGTGGTTATGTAATTGTTTATATTTATGTTTAATTATATTATATTTATGTTATTATATTTAACAATGTTAATATAATTGTATAGTATGTCTATGATTGCCGTAAGTCAAATAAACCTGGTTAATTTTTCCATGCACACCACATAAACAACACTACTTTCTTTAAAATCCTCCTAAAACATGGCGGAACGTCTGCGCGGAGGAGACACGCGTACTTAATTTTCCGTGGAGAGTGGGTATTCTGTTTGTTTATTATTCTGTGACTCAGTCATGAACCTTAATTGTTGTAAAATAATGGCAAATTAAAAGTTTTAAATTTTGAATTAAACGTTATAGTTGCGTCAGGTTCTGGAAGACAATCTCTGGCAGTACTAGATGTTGGTAAATATTGGTAATATTGGTGGTATGGCCTAGGTAATACGTTTTGTTCACATATACTTTTATACTATTTTGTTTGCCTCTTTTTTTGTTTGGTTTCAAGAGATAAAAAGTTTCCATCAATTCTAGTCTTCATAAAAATTTATTTTCATTTGCCGATACTGGTACCGTATACCACCACTATATTTAAAATTAGTATTTCCATTACTTGTTTGCTCTTCATCCTTTACTTCATTTTCTTTTTCATATTGATTTTGTTTATTCTTTGGTTTTATTTTATTTTCTAGTGGTGCAAATGTCATCTTTCCTTGGTTGAAATCTAATAAGTCGTTATGAAGTAGGTATGTCACTTCAAACGGGCATGGCTTAGTGCGTGCAAGTCTTATGATTTGTGCCCATCCTTCAAGGGTGTACCTATACAGGCGATTTTTTCAGCAAGATTCAATTTTTAAATAGACAGAATTGCAATCCATATCTCAGTGACCAGGTACAAAAAACCCATGGTCAATTGTTTTTAAATTTGGGTGACAATTAACAACATATTGACACATTGCAGAAAAAGCAAAGTTTTTCTGTTCTCCTTTGCAATTGTCGGACATCACTTTTGTTTGACGTGTTCAATATAAGGGTAAGACATGATGTATTTAAATATACATGCAGCAATTTCAGTACCACCGCATTTTCGCTCGGTTCCATCCTATATGAAACACTGGACGCTCCGTTCTCTTAAATAATAAATGGCCAAATTATAAAAAGTTTTCTCACATAAACACAAGGTCCTGCAGCTCCTTTAGGCGTTGACAAAACAAATTGAAGATCGAAATTAATTACTAATATTTCCCTATTCTCCAAAGCGGACCGTTTATCTTCATGCCTTTTTTTTCTCGCTGCATCTTTTCTTTCTAGGTGTTTCTGATGGAAAGGAGAATTACACTATGTTGACGACGTCCCACAGACAGCATTCTTTAATGTTTTTTTAATAATTCTTGTTTGACAAAATCACTGTTTCTGGTTTAGCTATACCCAGTTAACTGAATAATCAGATAATGAGAAACCGATAAAAACAAAATGATAAAGTCGTGTAAATTAAATTTGTTTTAACCCTCTTTATATCATTCGTTACAGCTATATCTGCCTCAAATCTGACTTTCCATTAAGCGTTTAGTCTGCTACGATGTTTTCAACTTTCACTTCCAGTTTCGCTTCATATATTCTATTATTTTTACAGCACGTGTGTATTCCCTATTTTGTCTTTTATAATGACCTTTGAAACTTTATCTCTTAGTAGTAATCCCAACATCGACTACACTCCATTCCCACTGAGCCACTCGTAATTAGCGTCTCAACGTTAAACATGCCTGAATTGTTTTTTAATTTGTTATTTTTAATTATTATTCTTATAAGAACCATTTAAAAGTATTTACAGAGAAAATGAATGACTATAGTAAAAAAAAGAAAACCAGCTAAAGGAACAGCTTACAAAGACAAAAAACGATATACGATTTTTTCTTTAAGAGCACTTACAGCTATAGCAACTAAAATCCAAGAACACACAACACATAAATGCTCACTTGGCATGTAAAAATCGACACATCCACATTGCTTCAGAGTGTGGTTTGTTTTACATTCTATTTGGCAATCCATTTGGGTATAATTTACAAAATACTGCAGTTGTTTCTCATTAGGAAAGTAACAATTTCTTTTTTTCGGAGGATATCTACAAAACAATATTTTTAATTAGCTTCGTAATTATGCAATTTTTATAATAGAATAAGAGAATAATTTATAAAATATTAAGAATATTAACAAGGACCTTTTGATTGCACTTGCTGTTGTAGTTATTGATGGGTGAATCGCCGCTACCACTACTTGATCTAACGGTACTCTGAAATGCTGCTGTCGTACACGAGGAAGCCTACCGGGATGACTTATTTCAATCTGCAAAAGAGTAAATAAACCTTTATAATTGATTGTAATTTTGAATCAAATACAATAATATATGGCGTAAGAGATATAATTATAAAATATACACAGCATATAAAGAACCTGAAATCATGAAAATAAACCATACAATAGTAGAAGATATTGGTACTCAACAACTAAGATGGTATGGATATGTACAAAGAATTCTGGAATATCTACTTTTAAAACAAATCCTAATGGTAGAAGGAAAAAAATAAGACCTATGAACGCACCGCGAAAAATTGCGATCCATTTTCTTCCTCGATACAAACTCAAGTAGGAAGAAGGTGAAAAGGAAGATCCAATCTTAGATACTAAAGATTACCAACTGAAGAGACACAGCAAGGGACAGATCAAAATTGCGGAAAATCAAGATCCACAAAGAGATTTCACTAATCACTAATAGAAACACTAATTTCTATAAGATCGCTCTTAAATCACCTTTGATGTACGGCTCTAGAGGAAGGGCATTTAAAAAGAAACAAAAACAGCAAATGCATATTGCAAAGATGGAATAATGTTTGGGTGGATGAAAAGATCCAAATCAAGTCACAAGTTTCAAATATCTGTGAGAAATATAAGGATGCATAAAAATAAGGAACTTATATATGTAGAAAACCTTAACAGATAGCAAGAATGCAAACATTCTATAAGAAAGTTAACATTAGCAAAAAAGAATAATCCAAGGCAACCAAAAACTAATGCAGAAGTCCGAATGGCGACCTATTACAATAAAGACAGGTGTGTTAAACCGATGGGTGGAATACTTTAAGCGATAACTTAATATAGAGGAACAAAAAGAAATCCTGGAAGACAGAGATGAGGTAAGAGGAACAGATGAGAGGAAAGAGAAATCACCAATGATTCTTGAAGTTAAAGATGCAGTTAAAAAACTAGCCAGAAACAACTCACTCGGAATAGATAATCTTCCAGCGAAACTATGTGCATATATAATAAAGCTCTCCACGATATCATAATGAATGACACTATAGCAACTCATAAATGAAATATTGATACAGAAATCTCTTCCCAGTCATGGGAATATTAGAATGCTTTACTCCTAAATGCGTCGTATAAAATATTCTCCATTATACTCTGCCACCCCATGGCACCATATGTAGAACGAATAATAGGAAAATCCATCCGACTGCAACCCTGAGACAAATTTTAGAAAAAACAATGGAATACGGCATATATACTCACCACATATTTATAAACTACAAGGCAACCTACATTTCTCTAAATAAAGGAGAAATCATCAGAGCAATGAAAGATTTAGGAGTACAAAATTAATTGATAAGTTTAATAAAATCATCCAATGAAAAAGTTGAATGTAGAATACGAATCCAAGAGGAACAGTCTGAACCTTTTAAAACAAAAAACAGAGTCCGTTGTAAGTTTTTTTTTATATCAATATTGTTGAGAAAAGGGAAAACGTTATATGAGAGATGTAGGTAGTGTAGCACTAAATGAACTGGCTACAAAAATGGGCTTAATAATAAACACCAACAAAACGAAATATATGAGAATAAGCATTTAACCTCAAATCCTACTCCACTCATTATAGAAAATGACGTCATCGAAGTAGTTAACGAATTTGTATTCCTGCAAGAACTCATCGATACTTAAAATAACTCACAGATAAACCGCATGATTTGTACGGCCGACAGGTGATATTTTGGCTTTAATCTCCTTTTTGAATTCTCAACTCCTCAACATGAAAACATGTGAAGATGTTTTGAAAGAAAAGTACTAAGGCAAATCTATGTAGCGATGAATGACAACGAAGTGTGGAGAAGACGATACAACTTTATACAATATACCAGGAACAAGATATCGTAAAATATATTAAGATAGGACACTGAGGTGGGTAGGGCATCTAATGCGAATTAAACAAACTGACCCAGGTAGAAAAACGTTCCTTGGTAGATCCATTAGTCAGACAGAAAGAGAAAGATACAGAACACGGTTTCTGGATAACATCGATGAAAATATGAGAAATATGGGAATACGTGCTTGGTGGGGAAAGGCAATGGATTGGAACGGATGATGATATGATGATGATGATGAAGTTGATTAGACCAATTGCTAAGAAAATATTAAGAGACTAGTGAAGAGAATAAAAATAAAAAATAATCAAATAGAATATCTCTATTAGATACACGATATTATACGATGGAGAAGTGTAATAAGAATAATATGATTAAGGCATATTGTATGAAGTATAATAATTCAATATGGAGAATCAGTGACTGTTAAGTTTCTGGATGGAGTAGTAGAACTTCTACAGGTGGGATACCGACGAAAAATGTAGAAGTAGATTAGTATTGATATGACCTAAGGTAGAAATAGAGGAGCTGACTCCGCATAAGGCAAAACAAATGATAATGATAATACACTTATCTTTCTCTATATTCAAATAACCATAATTATAAATCAAAAGGTACCTTAAATCCTTGTATAGAAGATCCACACGAATAATCCAAGTCTTCGTCTTTTACAGTGAGAACACCTTCCAACGAGAAAATGGCACCAGCATACAAGGCTCGTCTAGGATAAGTTATAGCACCATCGTCAAGTGAGTATCCATTTTCAATGGTCCAATTTGATAATTTTGCTCTATGAAAATCCTTGTATTGTTCACTAAAACAAGATATATAACATGTTGAAATATAAAATATACAATGTTGACAATATAAAAGTAATTCCAAGAAGTGTCTTATTTTTTGGTCATACACTTTTCATTATAACACAATATTAAAGTTTTTTCTTAATTCTCTTTTATATAACTTCTTAGTTTGTTTATTATCTATATTTCTCATATGTATGGATGAGATAATTAAGGAAGGTAACGTAAAAGTGAAAAAAAATGTATGTGGGTTATAGAAATTTAAGAAGAGTAGACATTTCAGAAGGAGCATTCGCCGACGACGTTGGTCGTCATATTTTTCCAAAATGGGAAACAACTATAAAGCAATATGGAGTACATAATGGAGTATTACGAGTCACTAACTCAAGCTTCGGATGGTAATACCACCATCTTGAGGTGGGCTAAGCGACACAATAGGAATAAAGGCAACCGCATTGCTGACCAATTGGCTAGCAAGGCGGCAGCCCTAAGACTCTTAGGAGCTGGGGATCTTTTTGGTTAGTCAACTACAACAATCGCGGAAATTGTCAAATTTCACTCCCATACTCTAACCGTAAAAAGATGGGAAGAGAGGCAAAGATGTAAACCTGTCAGAGTAACACTAAGTAACCTTGAAGAGTCAGCATCAAAGAAGTACTTGGGAATGACCAAGAAAGACCTACGCTTGACAGTTAGTTTTTTAACTGGTCATTGTCAACTAAACAAACACCTCCACACACTGGGGCTAGCAGACATACCTTTATGTAGGAAGTGTGAACGAGAAGATGAAACTGTAGAGCATGTCCTATGTGAGTGCCCGGAGTTATCGTTAATACGAGAGAACGCATTTGGCGAGTCCTGGCCCGCACCTATTCACATAAGAGAGATGTCTCTTGCTGACTTATCCATCTTCCTAGAAATGGCAGGAGGGACAATGAGCTAAGGGCGACAGCTCCCTGGGAGGATGCACAATGGGTCAATTGTGGCCTAAGTGCTGTGAAACTTAACTCGCCCTCCCTACTCTACAAATACAGGTACAAGAAAAACAAAAATCAATGTGTTCAAGTCAATAAATAGGACTGTATTAACCTTTGGTTGCGAGTCGTAGGTACTAACAGAACGACAAAAAGATAAAATACAGGTAGTAGAAATAAAATATCTGAGACGAGTTAGAGGAGTTACCAAATGAAATAGAACACGCAAATAAGAGAAGATGTACAAATAGAGTCAACAAAACAACATATAGAAAAAAAGCAACTTAGTTCATCTTCAGAGAATGGAGAATACAAAACCGGTGAGAGAAATTTGGTAGGCAAAAACTAACAGAAGAGAAAGAAAGGTAGACCACGACAAACATGGAATATAACCATAGGAAACATTATCGACAAAAGGGAAACAACATGGACAGAAGAAAGGATGTTAGGCAGAAATAAAAAGGAATGGGTTAAATTTATACATAATGTATGTAGAATATGGTTAAGTTTACAAATAAAATTATGTTTGATATTAATATTGAATTGTTTTTCATAGAATTTAGGCATAGAGATTATAATCTCTCCAAATTCCTCTTTCTGGTAAATTTAATGATTTTGAACTTCTAAAGGCTCAACATTTTATCTCCATCCTGTAACTACAGTCACAGCTTTTTGCAATATGTGTCTTACTGTACCATTAAATTTACGTTTGGCAATTTTTTTGGTTTACTTTTGTTTTTTCTTTTTTCCTGTGTTCCCTCTATATTTTTTAGATTCTTCCACTTGTTTCTTTGTCATATATTTGGTTTGAGTCCTGGTCTTGTGAAGACCTTCACCTTGTGATGTCCAGGCCATTATCGCAGTTAAGGTTTTGTCTTCTCTCTTTTCAGAATACATTCATACTATTTGATAATTTGCGAAACATTTTCTTTGGCTATGTTTTTATTTTTGGTCCATATTTTATCTATTATCTAGAGATATAGACCATCCATGAAATATTTCATGAAAATTTTTTATAAAAATATCGCTAATCGGTTTAAATCGTTATATATCAACTGTCAAGTTGTTGTGACTTGAAAATATACATGAATTAAATGAAACAGATTTTTTCTTCCCCAGTACCACAATATCTAAAGTTTTTTGAAACGTATAAAACTAAAATAACTACTTATGTTACGTAGAGTTTGAAATGAAGAAGTGACAAAACTTTCAAAAGGAACAGAACTAGACAATAAAATAAAGGTATTGTAACGACAAAACAAATTTCGACGTACCCCATATAACCATTGCATTCAGGGCAATGATGACGTATAACCGAATGTTCCAGATGTACCTACCAAAGCGGCGTTTATACAAGCGAGAATAGAAGTGAACTACTCTAGATAATTCTAGAATAATGTATTCGTTATATAAATGCGGCGCTCTTATTGAGTGAGTAATGTTATAAGATAGAATCGCACTTTAAACTTAAAATAAATGGTTTATATAAATTAGAGCCGCTCGTTTTATTGTTAAACGCATTACAGTGATGTCAGGTCATAAGTTCGTTTGCTCTGCAACCTAGATTTTGGCCGCAGACCTTCCGAAGAACATATTGCAAGCGAAGAATATGTCGACCTCCTGAAGTTAAGAATGAACAACATTCATGAACTTGTCCGACAGCACATGCAGTTAGCCATTGACAGAATGAAAGATTAATATGATTCCCGATGCAAGCATGAAAACTTTGAAGTACGTGATCTTGTCTGGTTGTATAATCCACAACGTCGACGAGTCTTGTTTACTAAACTGCAAAGACAATGACATGTTGACTCAATCGTCTTGCAGCTTATGCTGGCTCAAATAAAAAAGAATAAGCACGAACCTTTTAACACGAGATCAAACATGACTGACAACCAAGCTTTAAGGAATTTATGTCAAGAGTCAGGCTCAAGAGAATTGAGAAAAAACATCAGCAGAAGAATTTTACTTTCAGATGTCAACAAAATTGAAATCAAAAATTATGTAGACGATTACATGAAGACAATACGAACAACCGAAAATGTTGAGAAAACATGGAAATTATTTCATGAACATATGACAAAGATACTAAAAAAACATAGTGTAACTAATAGATTCAAGAAACAACAATAATGACAGATAAAATACTTGACATTATGGAACAAAGTGACCAAAGAAAAGTGGATGGCGGATCCATGTTGACAAATGGAAGAAATAGAAAAGAAACATGACATGTTCAATATGCACAAGCAAGTTCGTGAAGATGCTGACCTGTATAATAAGAAAAACTAATAAGAAGTAATTATATAATTGAATTGATCCAAGATAACAGAACAAACATACAGAGCAATGTAGATCAAGAAGGACCTGATATTTTAAAACCTTCATACAATAAAATCAACCAAAACCAAGAAAGAAACTGCACCAGACAACATCCCAGTTCAACTCTTAAAAATGATACAAGAGGACCACATAACTGCTCTAGTTAAGCTTTTTAATGTCGTGTATATTACTAATGAAATACCTGAGAAATGACAAGTCTATTTTTATAGCAATTTCAAAGAAGCTGCTGACAAAAAGATGCAACAAAAATAGTGGATAATCAGTCTGATGAGCCACATATTAAAAATTTTTCTTCGCATTATTTATGGAAGAATAGGAAGTCAGGGTAAAAGAGACCTAGTTGAAAGCCAGTTTTGATTTAGAAATGCGCTAGGTAGTCGTGTGGCACTTTTGACTTAAATACACTTCTCCAAAAATGCCGCAATTAAAGTAAAGATATTTATATGACTTTCATTGATTTCGAAAAGGGTTTAGATAGGGTACAGCATTTAACGCTTTTGAACATATGTATTAAGAACCAAAAGCATTGATGGTAGAGACCTACGTATCATAGAGTACTGGTATTGGAAGCATAAAGCAGTCATACGTGTCGATGGGAGATTAACCGACGAATGTAATATTCAAACCCCAGACAGAATGTTCAGCCGACAACCGACAAGAAATCGACAACCGGACTATTCAGAATAGCAGCAACCAAAGTTAGTTGCAGCATGTTGATCGCCAACATCCGGAACGGATAGGCACCGTAAGAAGAAGAAGAAGACAGAATGTAATATTCAACTAATTAATATTCTCAGATAGTCTCCACGGCATTCAAGAGTTATAATATTGCGTAAACACAACAGAAAGAGAAATGGGTCTAAAAATGAATGGTTCTATGACAAAATTTATGATATTGAGTCTCCAACCTCACGATAATGCTTCTCTAAGATAGATAAAGAAAACATTGGAAGAGTTACTCAGAAATGAAGTAGCTTGCACAAGGTTTGTAATCACAGCTTAAATCTACAATTACGTCAAAGAATGATCAAAGGCTATATTTAGTGGTTAACATTGTTACATGGCACTGACACCTGGACTCTGAAGGCTGATATGATCAATCACCTAGAGGCATTTAAGGTGTAATTGCATAAAATAATGCTCTGAATACTCTGGGCAGTGATGCAGATCAACGAAGCTGCGTAAAATAGATGAAATGGCATACATTTTCTTAGAGCAGACCTGTACAGGAGCCTTCAGCTTATCATGAAAGGTAAAATCGAGGGTCGCAGAGTAATTGGAAAGAAGCAGATGTCATGGCGCAAGAACATAGGCCGTTATCGAGCAACTATTCTGATTAGCTGAAAAAAGATAAAAATGGACAAAAGGTATGTGTAGAAACAGCATCTGTACAAAATATCTTGATTATTTACTTACACATTTGGTTTAAATATTTGACTTCGATCTAATATATTAAAGGAATAACAGATCCCTTCGTCCGTAATAATTGGAGTAAACAAATCAGTACAATTTTCTTCGTACCCCATGTATTGACAGTGCGAGATTGTCGAGAAAAAATCTGGTTGAACCTAAAACATGAAATATCCAAAATAAATGTGTGTTAAGGTAATTGTTGTGTAATTGTGTGGTAAAAAAAAGAAGTGGCTACTGCTATTTTGAATAATTCGTTAGTGGTACAGCCAAACCACTCTGTTAAA